GGCGGCGGGCTGAGCCCTGAAGCGAGGTCCAGACCGTGGGCGCGATCAGAGAGGGGGTCCCGCCGGCTTTTCTTTCAGGGCGGTTGAAATGCCTCCGTTTCTGCCTTCAATGCCTCGATTTCCCGTGGCAGCCTCCTTTCACCGAGCCGGAGCTTTCCTTGCGCTGACGGCTTAGAAGGAGCCGTTCTTCCCCCCGGGAGCCCCTCCGTCAACCGTTGGCTGCCGTCGCTGCGTTGACGGGGCGCCGGATGATGGTTGTCAGTGGCAGCTTTGTGGCGGAAAGTGCAGCCATCAGATGCAACCCCACCGGTCTGTAAGACCTGGCTTTATTTTTACAGATGCATTTGGCCCTTTAGCCTCTTACCATTGTTGAGTAATTTATTAACACATTTTTTTCATATGGAGGCGAAGGACAAAATCAAATGTGTGTTTGAATCGCTTATTAACTATTCATGGAATCCAAAAATAAGAGTTTGTGTGATAAGAGTTGTCTCTCGCTTATGCAAGGAAAAAAAGTTTCTGAAATGGCCTGTTTGAAATTTGTGGTCATAGATATGAGTATGAAAACTTCCATCTGTTATTAATAATATACAGCTGGTAACCAGAACTGTATAATTTTTATGGTAACGTTCTGCAGTACTTCTTTTCCATTTGACAATCCCCATATCCTTTCCCACCTTCAGTAATAAATTAATCAAACACAATAGGTAAGGAAGGCGTTTTTCTGAAAAAAGTATTTCTTTTCAATGAACACCTGTTGCAAGATTTATATTAACTCAGCTTGGGTGAAAAACAGGGCTTTCTCTTAAAACAAAAAGCAGGAATTTTACCAAGAATCCCTTTTCTTGGTCATTGATTTGCCTCTTCATTTTATGTGATAACATTCTTGAAGCACATCCAAAGGGTTCTTAGATTTTAAAAAATACAGCTTTGATGCTCCATATTCATGCTTTACATAACTATATCTGGTGTGATTTAAATTCTGTACAAATTTTTGGTAGCTTCTGCGGTTTCTGCAAGAATTCTCCCAGCAAACAATCTCTAGGACACATGAAATAAAGAAGCAGATGGACAGACTGATTCATGAAACTAAGAGTGTTGATTGCCGCCTACACAATGTCTTCAATGGTTTCCTCATGCTTTCAAATATGCAGTTCATTGAAAATGTGAGTACGTTGCTTTTATATATTGTGTTATGAACAGAGAAACGTTAGTGTCAGACTGATATGAAAAAATGATCTGAAAGAAGTTACAGTTTAACTCATGACATTTGTTGTTTGTTTAAAATAGTTAAAAACTGTGATGTTTATCATACTGTGTATCTTTAACTGAGGTATTGCAAAATTCTTTTATACAACTTACCTGCATATCAAATTAAAAAAAATTAAAATTTTAAACATACCAGTAGCCGTGATTAGTGGAGCATTATTATTGTGAGATGTCAAATACCAGAGGGCATATAAATGTTTTCAGTTTGTTTTTAAGTTTAAATAAGATTGATGTCATAAATTTTTAGATATCCCAAGAGAGATGAATTAGACAAAAGTATTAGAGGATGATTATACTGGTATGGTGAAAGCAATCGAGCTGTTTTTATAATATCATAGAATGGCTTAAAAATAATATTAAGTGGCTTCTGAATGTTGAAGGTCCTAAGACATACATTTCTTTTGTACCTGCTTGGCTCTCTTTCTCATCTGATTAAAAAAAATAATAAATGGGAAGTTGCCAATAGAACTGGCTCCAATTGTTATCTTTATTTACTGAAATGCCTCTAGGCTTCATGTAAGCATAACTAGAAAATAAAGATGAGAAGTGGAGGTCAACACATTGGAACTCTATCCATTACTAGGGAATACAGAGAGGATACAGGTAGTCCTCAACTTACGATCACAATTGGGACCAGAATTTCTGTTGCTAAGTGATGCGGTCGTAAAGTGAGACATCACATGACTGCATTGCTTAACTATGGCAATCCCAGCACTCCCCATTGCAGTTGTTAAGCAAATTCCGCCAGTCATTAGCCCAGGACCCACCCCAATCCAGGCCATTCCAGGCTTGGTCCCTCCCACCCCCAAGCTCAGTAAGATAAGGTACTGCCTCAACTCCCCCCACCTGCCTATCTCCTCCTCCTCTCTGCCCTTTTGGCTGCCCTGCACCCTGCTTTGCAGGGCAGCAAGCAGCCCCAGAACTGCACGGCTCTGGGGCTGCTTGCCATGCCCTGGGAAGCCACAGCCACCCCAGCCCAGTCCCAGTCGCTCTTGCCATCCTGCACTCTGAGGCCCCTGCTGCCCTGCACTCTGCTCCCCCAGCTGACTTTTGCGATCTTCTTGCTCCCGATGCTGATGAGGTGTGCCTGCCCTGGCCCTTTGTAAGGCAGCTGCTAGCCATGTGAGGCCATCTTCCCCAGGTCTCGCGAGAAAATCACTGTGCGCGACATGGGGAAGAAAGCCTCACGTGGCCAGCAGCTGCCTCATGAAGGACCAGGGCAGGCACACCTCGTCAGCAACAGGAGCAAGAAGACGGCAAAGGTCAGCTGGGGTGGCAGAGTGCAGGGCAGCAGGGGGCCAAAAGGGCATAGATGGGGCAGAGATAGGTGGGTGGGGGGAGCTGAAGCACTCCTATGGTTGTAAGTACGGGCGGGCTGCCAAGTGCCCAAATTTTGATCATGTGACTATGGGGGTGCTGCAGTGGTCACTACATGAATGGTCATAAGTCAAGGACTACCTATATGAGGGAACTTTGTAAGGAAGTTTGTAAAGCAAAGGAAAGCTGAAGTAAGATCAAAAAGAACAATTGCAGTTTTACTTAGCAGCCACTTTGCTTAACAACTGAGTTGCTGATCCCAATTGTGGTTGCTAGACAAGGACTACTTGTATTGCATACATACACATGCACATGCAAATGAACATGTTCAGTACTTTTCACATTTATATCACTTGCGTGTCAACTTAAACATAGAAGTGCAAAAATGTACACTGTTGGTACTAGTACTCGGCTAGTTTTTCTGTTGAAAATCATGCAGTTTCAGTTTCAGTCTTCCAGTTTCTACTCTAGTACTTGGCTAGTTTTTCTGTTGACAATCATGCATTAACCCTTATGAAATTCAGTTCCTGCCAGGAATCTTTATTTTAAAAAACTGGCATGAACTTATCTTCTTGGCTTTCAACTAGTAGCATGTTGAGTGAGGAAAGTATTTATTTATTAGGTTTATTTCCCACATTTATTTTGTACAACTCAAAGCAGCATGCATAATGCTCCTTCTATTTTCCCCACAACAACAACCCTGTGAAGTGGGGTGGGCTGAGAGATAGAGTGACTGGCCCAAAGTTACCTGTCAGCTTCCATGCTAAGGGAGGATTAGAACTCACAGTCTTCCAGTTTCTAGTCTAGCACCTTAACTGCTAACCAAACTGGCTCTGTTCAAAAATTAAATTCCCCTGTTTTTCTTCTGTCTGAGCTGAATGGTCTGTTGACCATAGTATCACCTCCATGCTTCCTGTGTGTGTCAATGAGTGCATAGAACCAGGTCACCTTGTTTGACCCTACTGGATAAGGGATTACAGCCCAACAAAATTTTTGGCTACAGTTAGATATTTGGCCATGGCAGTGAGGTTGAGGGATTTTGGGGAGCCACAGGAGAAATGATAGATGAATCCCACTGGAACTCTGATGTAGATAAACCAACAAGGAATTTGTCAGTGTGAGTCTCACTTAGTGGTTGCTCAGGATCTGAAGGAGAGCCAGGTGTAACACATAGATCTCAGCCAGTGTGTATCATAAGCTGGGGATTGATAAAAGTTTGACTTCCTCCACTATGCAATACTGGTTTAGAGGATGATCCAGGTGAGCTGGTGTTTTAGGGAAAGTGTTTACCCCACATCATTAGTTGTATCTAGTCAATGGGCATGCTACAACCAGTAATCTGGAGAGTGAGATGAAGGACTAGCCCTTGGTCACCCTCCAGTGGCAGTTTGGACCTCCAGACAATCATTGTCAAGTCTGGCCAGACCTGGGCTGAGTTTCCTCGAAACTGGAGGATGTCACTCTCTTCTTTCTCTGGCACATGAATAGTATGTGTAATTGATATTAAGTATTTATTGAAAATATTTGTTTATAAACAGTTGGTGATGAAGTGTATGAACTCATATCCAAATATTAATTTAAATTATTTTGTTTATGTTTATAGAGAGTATATGATGATGAAATGGATGAACTCATATCCAAAACTGAAGGAGGAGACAAACCAGAACAGGCAAGTTGAATACATAAAAATAATGTCTTGTTGGGTATAATCCAATCTGTGTATAATGCTGAAAGGGAAAGATGAAAAGACAAGAAAAAGCAGAAGCACCCACTTGAATCAAATTGCTGTCATTCATTGTTGTGAATGTAGCTAATGCTTGCCAGACAGGCTCAGTCTTAATACACATCCCTTCAAGGGAGAGCAGACCCTCATGCTAAACTATCAGTACACATCCCCAAGGGAGAGGAGTATGTGATAAGTCATGTACAGAGTGAGATTACCAGAGATCCTTTCTCTGCTGGAGATTGAAAAATTGTTGTTTTAAACTGCGGGCAGAACACCAAAGAAGGCACTGGACCACAGTTGGGAAAGAGTGACTTCACTCCCCACAGCCTCTGATTTGTTTGAATAGGATTCTGTTTTGTATGAAAATAGGTAATACGTTTAGTTGCACTAGGATCTTCATTTGTTTCTGTGTAGTGCTGAAGTCTAAATTTTCACTGTACAAGTTAAGGAATTGTTTGTAATTCCAACATTTTACAAAGTGATACGTGTCCAAAGATATACTCTTATTCTCTAGAATATTCTTGGGCTGTTTAATATTTCATACTCTTACCTTGTGATCTGTAATATTCTGGGCAGAGAGTATACACAGATACTGCCATTTTGTGGTCTACCCAGAGCCTTGTATTTTTTTTTTCAAAATTTTTCTTTTGTTTATTTAAGTTACCAGTGAGTTGAACAGCTTTGTAAGTTATCGTCTCCCACACTGAATGTTTGCTTTTTAAATTTAAAGTTGTAAAGAGATTTTGTATTTTATCTTTTCTTTTTAATAAAATTTGTTTTTGTTTTCTTTTGTTTGTGAGATTGGTTTGTCTGCCAAGGAAGGGAAGAAGGAATGAATTCTCTAATCTTATTTCTCTATGCTATACAGTCAGCACATGGCATTATGGAAATTATTTTTTCTTTTGTATTTTGATCGTTTAATAATCAGAAAATCAGCATGGGTTGTGCGAGTCCTATCACTCTCACACACTGGGAATAGGGAGTAGAAACCAGATGGATAGGGAGTAGAATAAGGAGCCAGATTTCCCCCTGGAAAGTATGTGATGGTATAAGAGTTACTGAGCTGCTATCTTAAAGCAGGAGGCCTTGTCAAGGTATGAAGATCCAGAGAGCTTCTAGGAGGGGAGATTTGCCTATGGGCTCAGTCTTTGTTAGAGGTAGGATTAATTAGATACTAGTTAACTGGATAATTCTTTTTAGCAAAGAGGCTACAAAAGTTGCTTTTATTTCTAGCTTCCAGATTTGATGGGATAGCTAGGTAAGTGTCAGGGGGCATAACTCTCCTGTATGCTATTGAGGAATGGGAAAACATGAGGTGATGGGCTGAGGAAGATATAGGAATCTGAGGGTGGGTCATTCACAGGGACAGTGAGGCTGATGATTGAGATTGGCCCCACTTTCCAGACTTCAGTATTTACCCTTGTTGCCAGGTCACTAGATCTTAGGTGGCCCTGGGCTCCTAATGCTGCTGTTGAGCACCAAGTCAGTCTGTATTCAGAGTGCTGTCATCTGTGATCTGATCTTGGATGAAGCAGTCAATCCTGGGTTGGCCCAGAAGGGGAATTCATCTCTCACAAATGTGCCCACTTGGATTTTGAGCTTGACACCAGCTTGACAAGGATGGTGTGTATGTGTGTGCACCAGTTGTCATCTGCAGGCCCTAATGGCTTTCAAATTCCGCTCCGCAGAGAATCAAATGTAAAATTCTCTAACTAAAATTGAGGTTTAGGAAGCAGTTGGGTTGATTACTGCTTTACTGGCTTCCCTAGTGCATAACAACATCCCTGCCTGAACTTGCGAGGTTGGTAGTAGGACTTTAACCTGACCTCTGGTGGCATTGACTGTGAGTGCCATGAACCTCAGGAGTTCATGTTAGATCTGGTTTTTATCCCAGCCAGCATGGCCAACTGTCACGTGATGTCAGGAATGATGGGCACTCTTATTATAGACCAACCTGGCATTCAACAGCAGTAGTCAGAGCCCAGAGCTACGTAGAATCCAGTGATGTGGCAACAAGGACATTACACCAATCCTTTGCCATGGTCTGACTGCTTTTCAGCTTGCTGGTACTGCAGGGAAGGACCTCTTAGATTTGTCTGCCCCAGGCAACTAATGGGTCCTGTCAGGTTCCAGAGGGAGCTTGGGGTTTTCCCTGAGAACCTGAATTACAGGTTCTGAAGTGGTCGTGGACAAATGTAGCCCAAGACAAGAAAGATGCATTGTAAAAGCTGGATTTCCTTTCTTCTGTTACAGCAGTTGAACAGTGAAGGGTGAATGCAGTGAAAAGAAGGATTGGAATAAAGCAAGAGAAAGAGGAATTTTTATTTTCAGTACAGAAGGAAGAATTATATGAGACAGAGGACTAGAGGAAGTGTATGGTATCCCAATCACAGAAAGAGTTCTTCTCAAGGACTTGAAGTTTATCTGTTGCTTGATTCCCTAACATTATCTGGGGGGGGGCACTGAAGTTGATTGTTAGGCTATGTTTCCCTGAAAAAAATGATGGACAATAGGTTTGTCTGTGTCTAGTCTCTGAGCTGCACAGTGCACATCATTCTAAAGCTTTTGGAAGAGGCACCTACAACTGAAACACAAAACCATAGCAGTTACTCTGTTACTTGGCAGATACCTTGAGAACTATTATTGCCTCTACTACCTAAAATTCAGTTTTACTGTTTTCCTTAGCTGTAGCCTGAGTTTTGATGAGATTATGGGAAAATATAAGAGGATACCATACTTGAAGCCTAATTCTCCTTCCCTCTGTCACATTCTGCCTATGTTAAAAAGTTGTTCTGTATCAGCATTGTTGATTGTATCTTGAATATCAAGTCTTGTATTTGTAGTTGTGTTGCATATTATATTCTGTCCTCATTTCCCTATCATCTTTTCTAACAAATTAGTTAGAAATTAGATGCTGTTAACTTATTTTATAATATTTATGCTAAGATTTATTCAGCTTTATGAAGTTAATCTGTTTACCTGGACATCTCATCTTCATGTTCAGTAAATCAGTTCTATTGCAAGTAATTTCACAGTGCTGACCAAAAATTCTAACTTCCTCCATTGCATATAAAAATAGGGGATTGGTATATTTTGATTTTGTAGGAGAAAACCCGTGAACAGAAAGAAGCTGATTTGATTCCCAAGATCCAGGAAGCCATCAATTTTGGGCTGCAGGTATTAGACAGTGCCTTTGAACAACTGGACATCAAAGCAGGGAACTCAGACTCTGAAGAAGAAACCAATGAAAAGCTGGAACTAATACTAGAGCCTAAGGTAATAGAGCTTGGTATTAGTTGCCACTTCAATTTTACTGGCTTGACTTTCACAGTAGTGAAACCTATTTAATGATCTCAGGCTAGTCACTATCTCTTGATATTTAAAAGCAAAATGTGGAGACTCCTGCTTAAAGTAGCATGTATCTGCTGGCCAGTAATTCTTATATACTCTTGAATCTTTTTAAAAAAAATATGGGATTGCATTCGCATCTTTCCACCACTCTACTGCAGAGTTTGATCATAGATTTAAATCAAATCACTTTATTTGGCCAGTGCAGATCAACCTGTTAATGTATTACCCAGGCAGGCAACAAGCATTAATAAAACTGTATGCTCAAACATTGCTAATGTGGTACTTTGTTTCCTTGGCCTGTTTTCCTCTGTTTGTTTTCCAGTAATTGTATTTGTAGGTTACACCCTTCCATTTCTGTAAATTAATGAAAACTAGTTCTCAGGATTATATGTTGATGAAGATTCTCAGTCATCCAGGTGGAATCATCTGGAGGTTGAGTCATGGGAACTGGACTTCTTTTCTTTTGGTTTGATACATTTTGGGTTTGGTTTGGACAAGCAGCGAAACGTATCAAACCAAAAGAAAAGAAGTCCAGTTTTGGTTTGGACAAGCAGTTTGGCTTGGACAAGCAGTTTTGGTTTGGACAAGCAGCGAAATGTATCACACCAAAAGACAAGAAGTCGAGTTGCCATGATTCAACCTCCAGATAGTTCTCAGGATTGCCTGGGAAAGCAGAAATTTTTTGCTTGTAACAGAAACTATATAGGTAGTCCTTGACTTACAACAGCAGTTGGAACTGGAATTTCCATCACTAACCGATGCAGTTGTAAAGTGCGGCCACATCACTTAGTAAGGGCAATCCCTGCAGTCCTGATTACTATTGTTAACTGAATTCCACAGTCTTTAGGTGAGGCAACTTCCTGGCCGCGCCCCCCCCCCAACAGGAAAACGGGGTGGCGGCGGGGGGTGGCGCACCCC